ACGCCTGCCCCACTTGAAGAAATGAGTGGTGGATTGGCCCCAAGTAAAAGTACAGTGTATGTTATCCAACTTGCCCTTTTCCCTGACCAACAATGACTTGTACCGGATATTTTCCAAGTATGACAAGGTTGTAAAGGTTACTATAATTAAAGATACCAGGAAGAGTAAAGGTGTTGCATTTATTTTTTTTAAAATATATTTTATTGATTTTTTTACAGAGAGGAAGGGAGAGGGATAGAGAGTTAGAAACATCAACCAGCTGCCTCCTGCACACCCCCTCCTGGGGATGTGCCCACAAGCAAGGTACATGCCCTTGACCAGAATTGACCCCGGGACCCTTCAGTCCACAGGCCGACACTCTATCCACTGACTACTACTTTGACGAAACTACTTTGATAAATCTAAGTGTTGGGAAAGTGGACACTTAAGTTATGCCTGTCTTAAAAATATGCTTGGAGCACGTGAACCTCCAAAGAAGAAAGAGAACACGAAAAGAAAGAAAATTCCTGAACCAGAAGAAGAAACTGAAGACGTAGAAGAAAGTGAAGATGAAGGATTAGATCCTGCTCTCAACAGCCTCAGTCAGGCCATAGCTTTCCAGCAAGCCAAAATGGAAGAAGAACAAAAAAAGTGGAAACCCAGTTCAGGGGATCCTTCAACTTCTGATGATTCAAGACACCCAAGGATAAAGAAAAGCACATTATTTCAGTGATGAGGAAGAACTTAGAGATTAAAATTATATTATGTAAATATTTTTTTTAATTTTTTAATCTTAGAATACCAAGTTCAGTTGGGACTAAAGATTGTTTTTATAATTTGATCATAAAAATACTTAATGCCAAGTAACTTTTTACTATAAAATAGTTCACCCTCACCAGATAGTTGAGTTGGTTGCAGTGGTTGGCAAACTGCAGCTCGCGAGCCACATGCGGCTCTTTGGCCCCTTGAGTGTGGCTCTTCCACAAAATAGCGACTCTGTGCATGGGCCACGAAGTTTCAGTCGCACTGTATGTGCACGCCCGCACGTGGTACTTTGTGGAAGAGCCACACTTTAAGAGGCCAAAGAGCCGCATGTGGCTTGCGAGCAGCAGTTTGCCGACCACTGGATTAGAGGGTCCTCCCAATACACCAAAGCTGCGGGTTCAGTCCCCAATCAGGGCACATATAAGAGTCAATCAATATGTGCATAAAAAAGTGGAATAACAGCCCGGCTGGCGTGGCTCAGTGGTTGAGCATCGACCTAGGAACCAAGGAGGTCACGGTATGATTCCAGGTCAGGACACATGCCCAGGATACAGGCTCAGTCCCCAGTGTGAGGCTTGCAAGAGGCAGCCAATCAATGATTCTCTCTCATCATTGATATTTATTCATTTATTCTCTTCCTTTCTCTCTGAAATCAATAAATATTTTTAAAATTACTATAAAATAGTTCTTGAAAAGAAATTTTAAAGTAATCATGCTTCTATCCTGCATTAGCAGAGTATTAATATAAAGATTTGTTAATAACCATTAACCTTGAAAACAGTATATTTGAATAAAAAAGAAAACAATATATAATCTATTGTCATCCCAAGAAATAAGGTATATATTAAAAAGATTTGTTTGAGGGTTCATTAAAAAAATTTATTAGCCTTGATTAGTTTACATGAGGACTTTTAAAATAAATTTCACCCGCAAGAAAAAAAAACTTCATAAAGACTGTGGGAAAAGTTGAATGATTTATTGTTATTAAATATTTTAAAATTTTTCAAGACAAAAAGAAAAGAATTCTCAGAAAGAGAAACTAAGCAAACAATCCCATTTACCATTACAACAAAAAAATTAAGATACTGGTGGCGGCCCTGCCTGCGGACTGAAGGGTCCCTGGTTCGATTCCGTCAAGGGCAGGTACCTTGGTTTCGGGCACAT